TCCCCTTCTGGGGCAGCAGGGGGCAGCAGGGGGTTTTCTGTGTGACCCTGAAGAATCTGAGTCCAGGGGAGTGTTGGGAGGGACGCTGGGCTTGGGTGCCACGCAGAGGCTCTTCCTGTGGGTGGGGGTCCCGGCAGCCCCTCTCGCTCACCCTGTGCTCTGGATTCTGTTGCCCTCTCTCTCTTGCCGGCCAGGACGAGAAGAACCAAATGATGACCACCAACGTCTGGCTGAGGCAGGTGAGGATTCTCCCCGCAGGGAGGGGACAGTCATCGCCGGGCCCCGTCCCTCCCTGCACCGTTCCCTGACCAGGGCAAGCTGCTGCGTTCACGGTGGGTGACACCTGCCACTTGGGTCATCTGGTTGCAGGTGGCCTCTCCAGAGGACTGTGCTTGCATGGTCAGGCTCTGAGTTCACTCCTTGTACATGTCACCAGAGAGCCAGAGATGCCTTTCTTAGAAATGACCTTTCATAGTCCTTGCTGCTTGGGGACAGGCTGCATTGTCACCAAAACCCCACGGAGGTCTCATTCTGTCCATTTTACAGCTTAGGAAAATGAGAAGCAGGGTGCGGCTGGGCCAGTAAAGGGGGCACCCAGGTGTGCCTGGCTCTGCTCCTTCTACCAAAGAACACTGTGTTCCTGTTAGTGCTGCCTGACAAACCCGAAGATCACCATCCAGAGCCATTTGGGCACCTCCTATCTATCTCAGTTTCATGGTCAGGAGTTTGAGTGGTTTCCTCTGCTTTGCCTGGTGACGACTGCTTGGGAGCGTCTGCCTGGTGGCTGTCCTGTTCTGAAGGGTGAAGGACAACTTTACTCACAGCAGGGGTGTTTGGAAGGTTCTGAAAGGGTGGGCCTGGCTGGCCTCCTGGCCCTGCCCAGGACCTCTCGGGGTCTTTCTCTGCGGTGTCTCTAGGAGGGAAGTCAGATTCCCACCTGTGGCTCAGGGCTCCCAGAAGGAGGGTCCCCAGACAGAAGTGGGACCTGCTGGTCTCTGGTGGCCTGAATGGGCCCTGCATCCATCTTGCCATATTCTGTAGGTCAGGGCAGTCCAGGAGTCCAGCTGGATTCAGGGAGGGGCCATAGACCCCACCTCTCAGTGGAAGTACAGCCCAAGAGCAGGTGGGCCTCCTGGATGGGCCACTCCTAGGGCAGACTCACGAGAGCACAGGTCTCATGAGAAGCCCAGTGCGTTCCCTCCCTTCTTACCCCCCCTGCTCTGTTCTGCTGCTCTGAAGGCCTCTGACATGGAGGTGGCAGTAGAATGTGAGAAAGAGGAGCTGGTGCCCTGCTCATGGCTTGCCCGACCAGCACCTGACTGTCCCTGGGCAGAGGTTAACACGCAGAGAGCCACACCCACCAGAATGTTGATTGGCACCTCTGTTTGAGTCCTCTGAATGGGTGCCTGGCCCTCCAGTGTCCTTTCTGTAATCCCTGTCCCCCAGAGAGCCCCGGATGGTGTTGGGGTGTGGTGTTTCAGCGACTTAGTTTAAATTAGACCTTGGTCCAGAGGCTCTGAGTGGATACTGTTCATCCCAGAGCTGCCGGAGGGTCAGGAAGTCACCTTTACAGATGTGCCAACTGGGGACCAGAGCTAGGAAGGTACTGTGTGTGTGGTGGGGGCAGGCCCAGAACCTAGGTCACCACAGTTGTCCCATGGTCTGGTCACCTGAGCCAGGGGCCGGGCAGGAGGTGAGGATGTACACTGCCATGGGACCTGGGCCATCGATCCGTCACCACCTCTGACTAGCCTGAGATGCCGAGCATGTTATTCTCTGAGCCTCATTTTCCTCATCTGTAAAATGAATGTGGTTCAACCTACTACCACAGTAATATGCCCCAACTTGACGTGGGTTCCCCAAAATGTTGGTTGGAGCTGAAGACATGATGAATGGAATGGAGAGAGAACAAGACCTGATCCGGGGAGAGAAACACAGGTTCGCTTGGATGTGATTTGGGGGGAGCAGGAGTGAAGTCCAGAGCGACTCTTGCTCCCTCCTGGGCCGGCCCCTGGGTAGGGAGGTCTCTGGAACATAGTCTGGAGGTCACAAACAGCTCCGAGCCTCAGCCGCATGCCTCTGGCAGGTGGCTTTTCCCCTCTGTGGTCCTCACTTCCACCTGCTCGGCACGCCCGGGCCGGCTGTCTCTGCAGCCTCTTCCTGGATGGAGAGTCTCACCACCTCGGAAACTGTGAGTCAGCTCACATCCTGCAGCGCCTCACTGGAGCCAGCCAGGGAGGCAAGAGAGGACCAGGGCACGGCTGGGGACCCCACCTGCCTGCGAGTTAGCTACTGAGGTGGGGGCAAAGCGAGGAGGGTGTTTATCTGGGAGGGTGAGCCTGGTTCCTCGGCCAGAGCCCTTTCCTGGCATCACAGCCTCTCTGTTCTGTGGGGCTGGGCAGGGCTCCGGGGGCTCCTGAATCCCTGGCCCAGCCTAGGTTGACAGAGGCCCCTCCCGGGCGTGGCAGTGATGGGACCCCTCCCCTGCACAGGAGTGGAGCGACTACAAGCTGCGCTGGAACCCAGCTGATTTTGGCAACATCACCTCCCTCCGGGTCCCTTCAGAGATGATCTGGATCCCTGACATTGTCCTTTACAACAAGTAGGAAGCCATGGAGCCCTGGGCAGACCCCCAGGAGGGCGGTAAAGGGGACTTGGAGGGCTTCGTCGTTTCCCTCTCAATGCTTAGCAGAGAACCCCCTCCTCTGTATTCTTTTATTCCTTTCATCCTGTTCTCTCCCTCCTACACACCAACGTTTACTGGGCACTGAAGATGTGTTCATTTGTACACGGTGACAGTGGGACAGATTGGCCAACTCTGAGTATCCTTTGGAAAATGTGGTTCAGGCTCTCTAAAAACGCCTAAGAGTTGAAATTTTAAAGGATGGCAATATTGTCTGACCAGGTAAGTGGCATCCTGTAGTAGCTCCTTTGAAGAACAAACTCACTGGGTATGTTTTTTCTTTAATCATGTTATCTTGCCTTGGATTCAAGACCCAAAGGATCAATCTCACCCTAAAAACTAGAAGCTAACAGAAGCTGGAGGGCGGGGGGAGTCTACAGAGAATCCCAGTGGGCAAAAATCAACGAATTAATAGACGTTTTCATAGGAGAAATAGAAATCGTTAGTTTTATTAGTATGTTTGGTATCAGGCAATTCTTCATTGAGAAGTTAAAAAGCAAATTTAAAAGAAGGTGTTATGATTGTCTAACAGAACTGTTCCAATAAACAGAACTGTTCCTTCCCCCAGGAAGGAACAGTTTGCTGCTTCCTTAAGATGTGAAGAGCTATGACAAGGTTCTGTGGTCACGGTTTTGTATCACACTGTATGTCTGTCACCCCCCTGCCAGGGGCTTTGGAAGCCAGCAGAGCACAATAGCGTTTTAAATGTTGTTTTAAGTCCTGAAGCAAAGAAACCAGCTTACTCAGCACTTCCAAATCCCTCGGATTCTACTTTGGAAATGATATTTTTGAACAATAAAACATAGAGAGAGGGTCCATTTCTGGACCTCCAGAGAGGTTCCTTACACCAGTTCCTTACACTGTCTGGTTCTGGGCAGGCCCAGTGCCCTCTCACCTAAGCTGTCTTTGTAAACACACACTTGCCACTGGGTGACCTGGCCGGTCTGACACCCAGGTACCTGTGTTTGCTGACTCATGCCCCAACCCCATTGCTCTGTACCCAGGAGCTGGCACCCAGGAACATTCTAGTTTCTGCTTCCTGTGCATTTGGCAGAGATATGAGCAAAGTCCTAGGGTCAGATACAACTTCACATTTCAGGATCGTCAATAAAGCCGTGACCACTAAGACTCGATTTTCTCAAGAAAAGTCCAGTCAAACTTTTGTAGACACATAAAGAAACATCTGCTCTACCCAGGCACTGCACTCTGGCCAATCAACAGAACTGTTCCTTCCCCCAAATGGGTGCACGTTGCCATCTAGTGGCAACTATGTGAAATGACCGAAATGCCTTTAATTTCTTTTTCTTTCTTTTTCTTTTTCTTTTCTTTTTGACTTTTTGCCTGATGTATCTGTTACTCTCTTTCAAAGTTCCTGTTTCCAGCCAGTCTGTCTCTCTACCCTGGAACTATTCCTTGGGAAACTCCCTTGTATTCTGATTCCCTGGGCTTTAGGACAGACCATAGGAAGCTAAGGGGGAGTTGAAGAAGTCCCATCTGAATGGTCACCAGTGTCCTCATAGTCCTGTGGGTCTTTGGATACTCATTCCCACAAAGTCCCCAACCTCATCGACCACAGTCCCCATGATGCCCACCTGGTGGCCCCAGTGAGCACTGTTAAGGTTTTCTTTGGCCCCAGCTGTTTCTTGTTCCTGCAGGGCCCTCTGCTGGGGTGCTCCCTCCCCTCCCTTGGCTGAGTCCTCCCTGAGCACTCCAGCCAGCCTCCTGTTGGTGCCAAGCTGCCTCCTGGGGGGCCCTAGTGGTTGATGTTAGATGCATGGACTCCAGGAAGTTTCCTCACTAGCCAAAATCTTAGGTCTCTTGAGCAAAGAACAAAAGGTCCAGGTGGAAAAGTCATGATCTTCTACCTAAGAGGCTGCTTGCTCACTGTGAGCTAGGAAAGTACAGTTCAAGATCATCATTCTAAAATATTAAACGAATAAAACAGGCAATGGAACTGCATACACCCCTCAAAATATAACCTCAAATATGCAAAACCATCAGAATCGTGGTCTGCGTGACAGTAGAATAGACATGTATAATATCACAATGTTAATAGTGGGTATTTTAAAAATTCTTGGTACTTTCCAGTGTTCTTCAAAACTCCACCTTTTGCAATTAAAACATAATGTTACATGAAAATAAAACTCAGCTATGTCCGTCTTCTGGGGAAATTTTATACCCTTGCAAAAGAGGGGACACTTGGCCAGCTGAGAACTGCCTTGTTCGGGTTGCTCTCTGCAGCAGTCTGGGTGGGTCGGGTGGGTGTGCAGAGCCCCCAGCTGGTCTTCTCTCCGCAGTGCAGACGGGGAGTTTGCGGTGACCCACATGACCAAAGCGCACCTCTTCTCCACGGGCACGGTGCACTGGGTGCCCCCAGCCATTTACAAGAGCTCCTGCAGCATCGACGTCACCTTCTTCCCCTTCGACCAGCAGAACTGCAAGATGAAGTTTGGCTCCTGGACCTATGACAAGGCCAAGATCGACCTGGAGCCGATGGAGCAGACGGTGGACCTGAAGGACTACTGGGAGAGCGGCGAGTGGGCCATCATCAACGCCACGGGCACCTACAACAGCAAGAAGTACGACTGCTGCGCCGAGATCTACCCCGACGTGACCTACGCCTTCCTCATCCGCCGGCTGCCGCTCTTCTACACCATCAACCTCATCATCCCCTGCCTGCTCATCTCCTGCCTCACCGTGCTGGTCTTCTACCTGCCCTCCGACTGCGGCGAGAAGGTCACGCTGTGCATCTCGGTGCTGCTCTCGCTCACCGTCTTCCTGCTGCTCATCACGGAGATCATCCCGTCCACCTCGCTGGTCATCCCGCTCATCGGCGAGTACCTGCTCTTCACCATGACCTTCGTCACCCTCTCCATCGTCATCACCGTCTTCGTGCTCAACGTGCACCACCGCTCCCCCAGCACCCACAGCATGCCCCGCTGGGTGCGGCTGGCCCTGCTGGGACGTGTGCCCCGGTGGCTGCTGATGAACCGGCCTCTGCCACCCTTGGAGCCACACGACTCCCCAGGCCTGAAACTCGGCCCTTCTTGTTACTGGTTGGAGACCAACATGGACGCAGAGGAGAGAGAGGAGGCAGAGGAGGAGGAGGAGAAAGGCAGATGGG